TATAATTATATATACTATAATAATAGTAATTGTTTTGTGGAAAGTAAATTGCAGGAATTTCGTTTGAAAAAAATAAAATGATATATAATGAAGCATATATTTTCAAGAATTTTCATATTCTTGACTTAAACATTTTGTTTTTTTCTGTGCGTTATGCGGGTGATGCGTCGCATCCATTTAAAATATTGTACATACATTTTTATTTGAAAAAGTCACTGATATCTCCTCTAAAATAAATCAATATTGCCAATAAATTTATTCAAATAATTAAATTCAATTTCAATTATTTAATGTTGGCCTTTTCTACTATTTTATCTAAAACTTTATTAAGAACCTCGCAATTAGCGGAATAAATTATTGGTTTCAGTTACACATTATACTTTTTAGTTTGCGATCATTCATAATGTCTAAAAAACATAATTAAAATTAATGGAATATCATAGCAACAGCTTGCAATCAGTTGTATCCATAGAGAATGCCTAATATTTAGCTTATAAAACAATCAACTTTTGATTTCTAACCACAAGTACAAATTCGAAAAGTTAAAAGCAAGGTGTTAAAAGTTTGTCAACTTTTTCTACTAATTGAAAATGACTACCACTAATTTTGATGTTCTGAATGCTTACATTGAAGCTAAAGAAACTCCGACGCTAATTGAAACCACTAATTGGTTCCACTAATTTCGACGTTCACGAATGAAGCTAATTAAAGCTTCACTCAAAACCTCGCAATTAGTGGAAGAAATTAGTGGTTTCAATTATAATTTATACCTTTTAGTTTACGATCATTCAGCAACAGCTTGCGGTAGTCAGTTGTATCCATAGAGAAAGCCTAATATTTAGCTTATAAAATAAAAAACTTTTTGATTTCTAACCACAATTTCTCTTGATGAATGATAATCAAAGGTCAAAATGACATTCCTCGCAAATTTTGAAGTGTAATTAGTGGAAAGGTAAAAAGTTTGTTAACTTTTTATTTTTATATTAATAGAAAATGACTACCACAAATTTAGATGTTCTGAATGATTACATTGAAATTAAGGGAAAAACGTTCTAAACTAATTATTGAAACCACTAATAAATTCCACTAATTGCGAGGTTCTGAATGAAGCTTCAGGGATACGTCCATAGCCTTGTATTTTTTACCCTAAATTTACTTATTTTTTTAAATTGGTTTGGTTGTTTTTTTAACCTGTTACAATTTTTGTATATTATATTTTTGTAACTTTAAAATTAGACAGACCTTAATAAAAAAAAAATGAAAAAAAAACCTTATTGTGTAAATCCATATGCTTTTCAGTAAAATCATCTGCTTCTTCACTTTCGCTCTGATTTAGCCACTCTAAACTTATGTGAAATTTAAAGTGCACCCCATAATTTTTTCAACCAATAAGGAATCAGCAAAATAAAAACTAAATCACCACAATACTCCAAAACACTTTTACTTTTACACTGGACGCGCGTTTCGCTAACCATGTTATCATCATCAGCACATGATTATAAACTAAAGTACAAAATTTAAATTTCTTAGTTTGTAGCGTTTTTTAAACCACTACCACTGCGAACGGCAGCTTTTCATCGGAGAGCAGTCGTGGATAAGGTATTTCACTAGAGAGAAAATTAATCAGTAATAATTAACAAAAGATATATAGATATTGGGCGCCAGGCATGTACAGAGAAAGAAAACACAGTTGTATAATACTTAAAACTAATGACTATATTTATTCATGACTTTCTTTGCTGATACATGACATTGTAGAGTTCTAGTAAATATATAGTGGTTATATGTCAAAGAAAGTGGTGGTAAGAGTCGTACTAAATATCAATGAAAACAACTACGATAAAATACAGGACATGTAAAGTTTAAGAGAAAATATGAAATGTAGCATTACTTTAATTAATTTGATATATTCCATATGATGCTAAATCGAAGATGTTACAACCTGTAGATTCTAGAATCTATGTTTGATTATCCATCTATTAAAATAGTGCAATAATATCTATAAAAGTAATACCATTACAAGACGTAATGCAATGAAACCTAAGATCTAAATTATAATTTAAAGATTATATCGACATGAATGTTCTTAACAATCTAACCACTGAACATAGTCTGTACGATATTACTTAAGATGTACGTTATTGTTTAAGACTGAAAATGGGACGCGTCGTCTAATTTTTTACGAAAAACATCGAGAGAATATCGTTTCCCCTCTCACGGATACCGCGTAGCTACAGAACGGACAGACGTACTGTAGCTGCTCTTTTATGTAACCTTGCTTCAAACAGTAGCAGCGTGAGGTGGTCTAGCATCTCTGTACTGTCTGTCGGCGATCCTGTTGGCCAAAACAACAAAAGGGGCCAGATTGAGGACACCATGAATCATTACAGCCGTAGCTACTGACTAGGCTTAGAAATGGGAGTGAAGCAGCATGGGACTCAAGCTACATCCACGCTGTGGCACTTATATGTAAGAAAAAAAATCATTCTTACTGGGGACACTCGTCCACAGGACATCTGTACATAAGATAATGTCTGTACATAAGACACTACCCGTACCTTGGACACAGTCCGTACCTTGGACACAGTCCGTACCTTGGACCCTAAAAATATGAAACTCTTGTTTAAAACCAAACAAGGTCTAATAAACAAAATAAACCTACCTCGAAATACTTCCGAGGGCTCAATAAATAATAAACAACATGTCCTTTCTTCCATGTGACATTCTGGAGGACAAAAGAAAAGGGACGCCAACGTGCCAGCAAAACACAAATACAAGTTGGGACATCCGTAACTCTACCCTAAAAATATTCAATAATAATATCGAATCTATAAAAGGTAATAACTATCTTTACCTGTAGCCTCGAAATAGCAGCTGATTCAAATTATACAGCAAGATTTAAATAATCACCATTTCTAAAAGCTGGGATACAACAGAGCGTCAAAACAAAGTGAGGTTAAGCACGGAGAGAACGATAATTGTGTCGAACGATAACAGGGTTGGTGACTAGGGAACGTAAAAATTACGCGTCAAATAAACTATCCGGCCTGAACGAGAGGGAATCCGGTGATGATAGGCCAGACATCATATATTATATATAAAAAAGACATGTAACGAACTAAAAACGTTACAAGTTCATAGATTACTTAGTTTCCCACTTTCCAACGAAAGATATGAAATAGAAAGAGTTTACATTAGGAATGTAGCTGAGTGTAATGGATATTCTCCTTCACTAATTGATAAATTAATTAGAAAACGTAGGTATAGGTTAATGATTTCTGAAAATTCGACTTTTCAAGTGGAGAAAGATACGTCTAAATATTTTTCGATACCGTTTGATAGAGAGTTATCCCGTGGTCTAAAAAGAATTTTTAAGAATGTCAATTATAAACTTGTGTATAGTGCTAATAATAAATTACAACAATTATTAGGTAATCCAAAAGAAAAAACACCTCCACTGGAAAGGTCGGGTATTTATGAAATTTCTTGTAAAGATTGTAATCAGAAATATGTTGGGCAAACTAGAAGATCAATATTAACTAGATTTAAAGAACATTTAGCTCAGATAAGATATGGTAGACTGGATAAATCTTGCGTTGCCGAACATATAGTTGATAAAGAACATTGTATAGATCTGAATAATTTAAAATTAATTAAACAAGTCTCAAATTACAGGCAATTAGATGCATATGAAAGCATCAGAATTAATAAATGTAAAGATAGTATGAACAGAGACAACGGTCCAATTCCTTCAAGTTCTTTGTTCCTACTACTCTAGTTGCGGAAATCTAACTGTTACGCTCAGTGGGCTCTGACTCGGTTGGCTAGATTTTGCCACGCCCACTCGGTGTCCACTGAGCGAGTATATAAACGCTCAACTTGTAGATGTACTTTAGTTTATAATCATGTGCTGATGATGCTAACATGGTTAGCGAAACGCGCGTCCAGTGTAAAAGTAAAAGTGTTTTGGTGTATTGTGGTGATTTAGTTTTTATTTTCCTGTGTAACACCAAAGGTTCCAACCCTCAACTGTAATAAGGAATCGGCGACCACCTTTTCGATATATCAGTAATAAATAACTTTACACTATATTCATGAATTTTAATATACAGAAGACTGAGTGATTAGTGAATCCAGTTTAAAACAATATTCTTTTCATTACCCTAATTACTATTTCTGTTATCGCGTGATAGAACTTTCAATTCCTTCATATTATTGGGGTTTTAGGTATCTGTATGTACACTTTCTCCGTCATCCATTTCTTTATTTAATCAGATCCGAGTCCGCCCTCATTTTATTTGTCCTATCTACTGAATGTATCCCGAACAATAACGTTTTTACGGTTTTCTTCACAAAGTAAACGAGTTTATCACTTAAATGTGGGACGAATAAGGAGATGAAGAAAAAGATAACAAAAGGGAAAATGTAAGGGACTAAAACCGTATTATTTATTATGTTGTTTTAAGCTATATTATTTCCCTCTTCGTCGCTTCAAAATATTTTCTCAGACGTTTTAGTTAGAGAGAGTGAGAGAAAGAGAAAAAGAATCGAAGAAGATATTTTGTTAAAAACGTTCATTTAGAATGCTGTTATTGTATTCTTTACGCTTATGTTAGTGAGGCTTAAAAAGTTATAACAATTTTAGTATCACATAAGTTAAAACATCATCCTGAACTGAATTCGCCTTTAATGTTCACACGATTTTTCGACTTATATACCGGGCTTTTCATATTAGAATCTCACCATTATTGGGATATATATTATTGGGAAACGATAATAAATACTTAGTGCATGGTTCAAATTGAGGCAAAGCTGCGTGTCAGTGAGCCCAGGTATTAATGCTTTAAGTAGTTAAACATTTTACAACCAACTACCGAAAAAAGATGCACCTAGATGATAAAATTAATATTAAATTCCTCATGTCATGTACTTGTCACCCAACAACGGCAGTCCACTCTATTTGAAACAGCACTAAAACTATGAAATAACGAAAAACTTACATTGACTTTATCGCTCATTCCCTTTAATCGCTGAATCAATTCGGTTGTTGTTTTCGCTCTCTCGGACAGTTGCTGCAAGTTGTGGGACAGTTCGGTCTGAAACAGAAATCAATAAAATATGAGTAATTAAAAAGCTGCATTGTCCAGAGTTTTTAAACATCTGTAACAGATGGAATTCTAATAAATTAAAACACAATAAAATATTTTAATCTGCTACTCTGCTTTTAATCTACTATTCAAAATTCAAGAAATAATTTCTTGAATTTTTAATACTATTTAATAGTACTGACGCATTACGTAATTTATAGTAAAATAATTAATTGTTTAGTAAAATACTAAGGGCTGGCAAAGGTTAGTCTTGGGTCGAGATTTCCGTATGTAAGAAGAGTACAATGCGCTTATAATGTACTGAACAAAGAGAAGACAGTAAACACGTCGCCAAACGTATGAAATAAACCGAGAAACTGTGCACATCGCTAAGAGACGTGGAAGGGGATATAGCAGATTTGTCGCAGTTGACCGGTCGACCCATAGAGAAAGTTAATAGTTTAGAGAGTGGTGAATCGCGTGGTAAAATGTTGGGAGATTGCGCTTTTGGCGCCCTCTAGTTGGCTACAGGAACGAACTATGAAAGAGCGGGGATTTAAATTATTATTATACTTATTATTTTTAAGGCAAAAACTAAGAGTGCCCTTAACCAAAAACAGTGAAATAAATGGAGATATCTACTCAAATTTTATATTATCATGATATTAAAGGATATAAATACAGCATTTATAATCCTTTTACACCTTTTTATTCAAAGTCTTACACGCTAATATAAAATTTGACTATCTCCATTTATTTCACTATTTTTGGTTAAGGGCACTCTTAACTTTAATTTTCCTTTTTTTATGGGAAAACGATTAAATGGGAAGAATTGAATGGGAATGGAAAGAATGACCAATTATTGTATTTTGTATTAATTTATAATACCCCTATTCTACTAAATATCTAGCTACATTGTACTTACAGTTAAATAGCTACATTGTACTAGTTATATACATATTTACAGTTTTATGATGGCTATTATTTCTTTTCATCGTGCTATCAATTGATTCGCTCCGACTTGAGTACTATACCTCGAGATGACTCCAGGAATTATTTATCTTTACAGGCCTAGAATATGAAGATTCACAGTAGAATTTTTGGTTTTACTGCCTATTAGAAACAAACCTACCCCCCTACATCAAGGGACATACAATTATGCCTTGTTCTCGGCCATGATATTCCTTCCATTCTATATCCAACATCCAACTTAGCAGACCTTCTGGTTCACAACAGGGCCTAGACTGGCCCGATGATATTTTAATAGAATAGCCCTTGATATCTCTTTTAACACTTTTCACACTTCATTTAATAATTAAATAGGAGGGCTGGATGGTATAATTTCTAGAAAGAATAGCCTGTGAAATAAAAACTTTTGCATGGACATTACCTTTCTTACCTTTGTCTGCTATTTTTTAATAAAAAACAACTGTTTAGTTTGCACAAAAATAAAATTAACAATCAAAAATTTCTTAAAAAATTATCAAGCCTTGTACTACGCCGTGTGCCGGTTTTTGAACAAACAACAAACAAAAGAATGAGGTTAGCGGCGTTGCCAATGTCAGTTTTCTAAACTACCCAAAAATCTAAATTAAATTCGCCAATTTGGGGAGAAAAATGTCCCGATTCACCAAAAATTCCCCATATGATTATTTTAACAAGTTTTTTTGATCACACAGTATTAAAGTTTGTTAAGATTTTTAATTAGATCTTCCTATTTAGCTGAATGTCCTAATATGTATACTACTGTTTTTTTTTCACAACTAAAATATGTTAAAATAATTAATCACATATATACATACCTAATAGGATCTCTAGGAAACAGAAAGAAACTTTTATTGAACAACAAAAATAAAACTACTAAAACAAATTATATTACATAATAATAATAGCTCCCGTATATAGCGTTTGACGCCTTGGGAGTAGCAAGGTACAGCTTGCCATACTAGAGCCGTTCGGTATACAAAGGAAGGTAATGTGGCTAGCACTACGCTTCAACCGTCTATTATTACCTCAGGATTGTAAATCCCAAGTACTCATTTAAGGCTGAGTCGACCTAGGTACCCAAACTACTATTGGTAGACGAGAGCTTGTACCTCTACGCCACCGGGCACCTACTGGCAATTATATTACATAAGAAACGAAAATAAAACTAGAAAAACCAAATATATCATATAATAAACAAAAATAAAACAACAAAAACAAAATATATCACTCAAGAAAAAATCAAAATAAATTAAGCCGCACGCTACTGACTCGAATCTGCCGTAACTCTGTGTTGTCGCTGAAAAAACTACGACACTGGTTACTTTCTGTTGATGGAAACGCAAATGGCGGCGTGCGCGAGGATATGCGCGTAGCGTTCCCGCCAAAGCGAGTTAGCCTGCCGTGTGATTTATATGCCGTGCTATTAAGTCACAACATTAAATTTGACCAATGTTCAGTATTAATTTTTTCTCACCCTGTATAACTTTTTGGGCCAAGTTTTAATTTGATTTAAAGTACAATCGTTATTTTAACTACAATTGGGCTATACCGAGTAAATTTGAATTTATGTAGCTTTCATTGAAATTAAAAAATTGTTCTTCATTTTTAGAAAACGTTAAATATGTCAAAAACCTTACATTTTAGTCATATACTTCTCTAATGAAAATTACCTTTATTTTTCTTCTAGAATTCGAAAATCAATTTTCAATACAAACTGTCGGTCTCATTGGACTCCGCTTAATATGAGCCACTCTGTACAAACGTTTTTATATAGCACAAAAAATATCAAAATGCGCTTATTGTACACGTTTGTTTTTAAAACGACAGATTTGTTTAGGATAACCATAATTTAAAAATATATCGTTTGTAGGTAGGATGTTGAAAGTCGTTTATAGCAGCAATAACACTCTTAATGGATGTCTCTAATGTTCTCGTTTCCTTAAGCCCTTCTAGCGCGATAGGGCGGCTACTACTATAAGTTATATCCTAACCATTTTACCGCATTTCGTGAGTGCCAACGCAATGTAAGTAATATGGATACGTAAAAAATATAGTATCTTGTTAATTTGGCAACATAGGTGGTAGAGGAAAAGGTCAAAGAGAAAAAAACAGAAGTTTTCAAAATTTAAGAAAAACATATTTTTCTAATTTTCTATATAAGTAAAATAACTTGGTTATTTTGGACTATTAAAGTCTTTATATCTCTCTTTTGTAGTGCTGAACGTGTACTTTACAAAACCGTATCGTTTTTGAAATTGACACTTTTTGTTCCAGAAATATTTGGTGTTAAATGCTGATAGACCAATAGGGAATGTCGTGATATACCCTGACAGCTTGGGCGCTTTAAGAAGCATCGCCATGCAATCAGTGAGATCGAAAATTGTGATGGAATGCCGAGAAGCACTGTCCTAGCTGCGTCGGGACGGGGCTACTCTATGCAGGCCACAGCAATGTGGTGGGCAATCAGGAAGCAGACAGACTCGTCAAAGAGGGGGCCAAGGGAGAGGCCGTGGTAGATGACCCACCACTTGTGATGATCAACACACTGAAAGAAGCTATAGGAACTGCCATTAAGAACAAGCAGCAAGAGATGTGGAAATACTGTGAGGACTGCGCTACAGCTCAAAGACTATGTTCAATGGTAGATAGCAAAAAGTAGCGATGGGAACTATCGAATGAATTAGACTATCGAATGTTTAATGAATGAATGATTTCAACTATCGAATGGTTTTATTCGAATAAAATCATTCATTCATTAGTATACTAAAGCATATGTGACAACCTCGCCGTGCGACTAAATGGTTATCGTTGAGCCACGACTATCCAATGCTTTTGATAAATGAAATTTAGTATTCGTTTGATTTTTGTATGCGTCAGTGCATTATTAGTTCTTCCAAATTTTTATAACTTCGCCGTATAAATACTGTGCTATTTTTGCGTTTATTAAAATAGTTAAAATACTAAAATAGTAGTTATTTTTTAATTTTATTATCGAATTTTCTTATGTAAACATTTTCTACAATATCCGATCTCGAAAATAAAAAAAGTTTCAAATATCTAAAGTTGGTTCTTGAGTTATGGCGTTATGTGTTAAAAAAAGTTGATTTTTTAAATTATCGCGATTTACTGACGTTTTCTCCGTTAAAAAAATGACAAGACTAAACGATATCTTATAATTCCATTTCACCCGATGCTCAGAACATGTCTAATGATTTAATCTAGTTATCTCTTGAAAAAAAAAGTCTTTTAAAAATAAGCGGTTTGAGAATCTGCGAATTTTTTTATTTTTTACTTGATAGGGAAGGCGTATCGGCAACGCCCCAACAGCACATGTCGCGCCGTCGCATCGGTCGGGTCGCAAATTTTTCATCTCACTCCGGCTTTAATAAGATACCTGAAATGGCGATTTACTGTGCCACACATGTAAATGCCGACCCAAAAGTAATAGTTGCCAGCACGGTATATAGAAAAGATTTAGAAAAAATAACAAAACTAAAAAGTTAAAAATCGTAACGGAAACGGTCCAACTTAGCTGAATCAACGACAGCAACAACGTTTAGCGAAAATCAGTTATGAAAGAAATATTTTGGGGTGTTTATTTAGTATTTGAAAGTTTTTTGAATAGTAATTGTCACAAAAAATTTCTGCGGAAATGCATCATTTTCAGTTTTCCAACTTGAGAATTGCTGAAATCAGGGCTACTTTAGTTTACCTGAGTTTTTCTAAACTAGGGTTGGCAACATTCAAAATAAAAGTCGAGAACGAAAGATTATATAAAAAAGCGCCACAGGCGAAACACATTTTGAAGCATCGCAAAAATATTGTTAGAGATTATGGAGTGTAGAGATGAGGAGAAATATCTCTTATGGGAAAAAGTGGCCACAAAAATAAAAAGAATAAGGGTTCACCAAATAACCACAGTGGCGCTAATGACGCATAAAACTAAAAAATGAAAAGTAACCATAGAGTAGATAAGAGAATAAAAGTAACATAACCAAACATTACCCAAAATAGCTTTGCTT